GTGAGTATCATTATTATTATACAGCTCATGGGGGAGAGGATGGAAGGTATTCAGGCTCAGTTCAAGAAGTTGGAGCACAGATCCAATTCTCCAGATCAAGAGCCCCTCACCAGCGTCAAGGAACGTCCCTTGAGAGGTGTGTGAGTATGGGGAAGGATATTCTGAGACATGGTAAATTCCCATTTACTGTTATCTTCAGGTCCAAACTCAGGCTGGCAGATTTCAAAACTATATATATAAAGACAATCCAAGTATGATGTAATATGGCTAAGAAAATATAGATAACTTTTCCTCCTTCGTTGTTACTATCATAAAGAATATATTACAAGCATTCGTGTTTGTAATATATTATTACAAACATTGGTTTAGGAATACTGACCGTGTACGACAGTTCGTTCACTTTTCTTTCCTGCTTGCTTACGTGTTTGTCATCACCTGTGTTCTTATCCCCTGTGTATTGTTGTTCCTCCTAACGAGGTCTTTTGGTCATTCATCTGTATTCTCTAGGTCGTTTATCTGTGTTCCGTAGGTCATTTATCTGTGTTCTGTAGGTAATTCATCTGTGTTCTGTAGGTAATTCATCTGTGTTCTGTAGGTCATTCATCTGTGTTCTGTAGGTCATTCATCTGTGTTCTGTAGGTCATTCATCTGTGTTCTGTAGGTCATTCATCTGTGTTCTGTAGGTAATTCATCTGTGTTCTGTAGGTCATTCATCTGTGTTCTGTAGGTCATTCATCTGTGTTCTGTAGGTCATTCATCTGTGTTCTGTAGGTCATTCATCTGTGTTCTGTAGGTCATTCATCTGTGTTCTGTAGATTATTCATCTGTCTTCTGCTGGTCATGCACCTGTAAGTTGATAAGCTGCCTATATTCTGTTCGTCATTTGCCTGTGTATTATTGCTCATTTACCAGTGTTTCGTTGATCTTTCACGCTTGTTTGGTTGATCATTTTACTTCGTTCTACTGGCCATTCATTTATATTTGTTCGGTATTTGCCAATGATCTCTTTCTGTTGGACATTCAATTGTATTCTGTTAGTCACTCACTAGTATTCTGTTGGCCATTCACTAGTATTCTGTTGGTCATTCACTAATATTCTGTCTGTCATTCACTAGTATTCTGTTGGTCATTCACTAGTATTCTGTTAGTCACTCACTAGTATTCTGCTGATCATTCAATAGTATTCTGTTGGTCATTCACTAGTATTCTGTTGGTCATTACCCCGTCACCCGTTCATCATACACGTGCATTTTTTTTGGGGGGGGGGGGGAGAATCATTTATGTTACAATGATCATCCACCATTTTGGTTATTGCTTTACACATGTTCTGCTATTATTCCACCTGTGTTCTCTGGTTATTCGCCCGTTTTTCGTTGATCGTTCACACATGTTCTGCTGATAGTTTACTTGTGTTCTCTAATTATTCAAAAATGATCTAATGATCATTCACAGCTGTTCAGCTCAGCGTACATCATTGTGTTGATGATTTGTCACTGTTTTGGGAATGTTTCACTAGTTTACTGTCGACATTCTACGTACATTATGATAATCATTCATATGTGCCGTTTTTAATTGCTTACTCACGTTGTGTTGCTGATAATTTCGTGTTTAGTTAATCATCCCGTCACGTTCTATTGGCCATTCATTTATGTTCTATATATCATTCGGTCATATTCTGTAAGTCAGTCATGTTCTATAGATCATTCAGTCATGTTCTGTTGATCATTCACTAAAGTTATATTGATCATTCATTCATGTTCTATAGATCATTCATTTACATTTTATAAATCATTCAGTCCTGTTCTATAGATCATTCACTCATGTTCTATAGATCATTCAGACATTCTATATTGATGATTCATTCATGTTCTATTGATTATTCAGTCATGTTTTATTGGTCATTTAGTCATGTTCTAGCGATCATTCAGTCATGTTCTATAGATTATTCAGTCATGTCCTATAGATTATTCAGCCATGTTGTATTCATCATTCACTCACTATTCATATTCCACTTCAACTCAATTTATCTCTTGTTAATCGTTCACTCGTGTTTCCTTGATCAATTATTCGTGATTAGTTGATTAATAACTAGTACCCTTTGATCAATCTGTAATATTTCTCTTATCCTTCACTTGAGCTTTTCTGGTCATTCATTCGTGTTCCGTTAGTTTTTTGTTTGAGTATTGCAGATCATTTATTCATGTTCTGAATGTCACTTTATTTGCTGCTGATCTTCCAACATTGTCTTATTTATTTGCAGTTGTTCTCTTATTCATTTCCAGTTGTTCTTGTGCTCTATTTGCTGTTATGTTGAGAATGGTATCAGACATCGACAGGTTGATGATTAAGAGACATGTGCAATATTTGAGCATCTGTACTGTTGGAACGTTTTCCCTACACAGTCGGCTTGGTCAGTCAAATATAGAGGCAGTAGGTGTAGTGGTGAATTGAAGATAATGTAATCAGTCCATCAACCTCGGAGAGTGCAACGGACAAATGTAGTAGTAGCAGCAGCAACACACACAGCAAGAGGCGTTCTTGAGCTTCACCAGCGCTCGGGCTTAATGCCCAAAATTGGGATGTGACTAAAAGGACCCTGAAGTGCTTACTGCCTTTGTACCTCCTGACATCGTCTACTGCTTTGCAGATACCTCACTCCTCGAGCCCAGTGTGGGCGGGGCTTGAGGCAGCCCAAGGTGCCTAGCTTCTCCCTCCGAGCCCCGTGTGTGCGGGAATTGAGGTTGGGCCTGGGAGACAACTGGTCCCAGACGATGAGGAGGTACTTGTACCTCCTGCCATGGCAGACATTGGTTCTGAGACACTCCCGCGACAGGGAGCCAAGGTCTGAGACACTCCCGCGACAGGGAGCCAAGGTCTGAGACACTCCCGCGACAGGGAACCAAGGTCTGAGCCACTCCCGCGACAGGGAACCAAGGTCTGAGACACTCCCACGACAGGGATCCAAGGCCGGGCCACCTCTTGGTAAAGGCCCGGGCCGGACGATTGTAAAGGCGAATTTACAATAACAGCAAACCTCTGAGAAAAAGGACTTAAGGCGGTCAGTCCCTCAGCCTGGAGAAGAGTTCAGCTCCATGGTCTGGAACGATGTGAAGTTCTGTAATTGACTGAAGAAGCCTATTGTTCAGGAGAAACCTTTCAACAATAAAGATACTCAAATGTTTCACATGTGTCTTAATCATCATCTTTTTTTGTTGTTGATGATTTATTCGTGTTCTTTTCTTCATTCTCTTTTGTGCTCTGTTCATCATTCGCTTTGCGTTCTGGCATCCTCTACTCACTTGAGCTCTGTTGATCATTCATTTCTGCTCTGCTGATCATTCACTTGAGTTCTACTTTTCATTAACTTGTGTTCTCTTAACGTTAACAATTCATTCAAATTTTATTGAACATCGAAACATGCTCTATTCATCATTCACATATATTTTGTTGATGCCTTGCTAGTAGCTCGTTGATCATGCGCTCATATATACCGATCATTCTCTTGTGTTATGTTCATTATTCACTATTGTTCTTTATTATTCACGTATATTCTTGTAGTCATTTGCTTATTCTATGGTGGTCGTCCACTTACGTTTTCTTGCTTATTCATTATATTCTCTCGGTTATTTACTAATATTACATTAACATTAGAATCCGTCGATATTTCACTAATATTTTATAACCATTCACTTCTTTTCCGTTGATGATTGACTTATGTTCTGTCAATCATTCACTTGCGTTATGCTGCTCATTCAATCCAGCCAATTGTATTCATTCATCTTCATGAACACATTCCTGACTGCATACTAACAGAATTCAGTACTGTTTGTTCTGCATGTATTGCTGTCCATTCAATTGTTCTGTCAGTTTACCTATGTATATCTTATTCATCAGTTTCTAGTTTATTAATCTATGCCTCACCAACTTCTTTATGTTAAAAATACTACTGATACCACTAGTTAGATGAGGAAGAATGAGGTGCAAAAATCTCAATTTCATGCAATACTAGAGAAGTGTTAGACGTCGAAGTAATGGGTACTGAGGGAAAAACATTTTGATGGATACATCAAAAGGCGATAGAGAGAAGAGCAAGGTAGCAAAGGAAAGTCGAACAATCTACCCACAAACACTACAAAAGCCACAATACTGTGGCTGGAAAATGTACAAATAACCAGTACGGCGTTTCGGTCCTACTTGGACACCTGGCAAGTCAGCATCATAAAATGAACAGGAAGAGCTAATGCATTTTTTTTAAATCAGAGAGCAGGTTTATGGTAAGCCCAAACGGGTGCCGTGGAAACTCCTTCTAATAAGCATCAACAATCACTCAGATAATGTAGTTCCCAAGTTTCGTTAACTCCTGACTTCAACTCATTTAAATCTCATAAAAATTGTCAGCTTAAGAATGTAAAAATTAATTAGTCGTGTGGACTTAGATGCCGCGACTTAGGATGTGGAAGGCGGAACTTCTACTAATTTCAACTGTGAACAGATTATGAAATATTTTAGTTAGTTTTGACATGAGTGAAGGGAATACTTGGGTTAGGTTACCTGTTACTTGAGTGACAAGGGGTGTTTAGCTGCCTGGTACACGACTGATGAGATACGTTACCTGATACCTGGGTGACAAGGGAAGTAAAGTTAACTGGTACCTGTTTGGCAGGGTGAGTGATGTTACCTGGTACCTGAGTAGCTGGGTGAGTTGAGTTATCTAGTACCTGAGTAAAACGTGTAGCTAAGTTACCTGGTACCTGAGTGACAAGGATAACTAAGTTACCTGGTACCTGAGTGACAGGTGTAGCTAAGTTACGTAGTAATTGACTGACAGTTGTAGCTAAGTTATTTGGTATATGAGTGAGATGAGAAACTAAATTACCTCGTACCTGAGTGACAGGGTTAGCTAAATAACCTGAATCTGAATGACAATGGAAGGTGAGTAACCTGGTACCTGAATGACACCTGCTCAGTAAATTTAAATTTGGGCATCAGCTGGGCCAAGC